TGTTCTCGTCGTCTCACCTACAACTAAATGTAAGTGAGACAAAGGGAAATGGTATAAAATTTAACTGCTAAGCCTCTTGCTTCGATGGTGAAATATAATATTTAACTGCTAACAATGGCCATGAGTAACTGATGCCATGCTGCGAGTGCAAGCGCGCGAAAGAGACTTGGACCTCAGACAACCGCGTTCGGTCAGTAGTCGTGCGACATGCACATGTTCTCGACACACGCAAAAGTATGCAATTGGCACTACACGGTCGAAAGAGAAGCGCTTGTTGTCTGCAAGGTCTATATTATGAGGGTAGTGACCGTATGTGCTTCTGCGCGAGTCCCGCGCGAGCCGTTGCGAGGGCCGCGCGTCCATGGGTGGAAGGAGGCGGCTTTCCGTGCAGCAGTAGCCCTCAATGAAATTAAAGCACCCTGCAGAGAAGAAAGTGGCGAGCTCGTTTGGGCTGTTGTCGTGGAATGTTGCACGCCAGGAACTTTGCCCCTAAAGATGAGGGGTGTTGTCGTGAATGAGATTTCTGCTTGGTGGTGCAAGTGGGTTCTGACCAATCTTGGAATTTGCGAATCCCCAGTGTGCACGCGCCCGAGATACGACTTCACACCAGAAGATACGACTTAACCTACCCGCGGGTAGGGTTTAGGGTTTAGGGTTTCGGGTTTAGGGTTTCGGGCTTAGCACTGGAGCTCTCGATGCTTCAGGGTTTTTAGGGCTTACCACAGAGCGGCGGCGGTGGGCAGACAATCCGCCGGAGCAATCACCAAGCTTGTGGGAGGGCCATCCTCTAAGCCCCTAAGCATGTGGGGGGGGGGGGCGGGGGAATAAAAAAGATGGTTCCCTTTCTCAAGTTCCCACCACTTTTAGGGGTTTAGGGGCTAGTTTCTTGTAGCTCTGGGTACCCACGAAAGGGTCGGCAACTCACAGCAACCCCTCCTCACATCCCTGAAGAGGTACGCCGAGCCCAATCTAAGCTCTTGTTCTTCTTTGGTAAGGCTGAATGAGGCTGAGGGATACTGGGAAGTGCCAGCGCCGAGCACGTAACGCTTGTTTAGGGCTCAGGGGGACCTCAACCCCATGAATTCTAAGGTCTAAGCCCGGTCTAAGCCAAACCTCCAGATCATGCTGAGCTGAGTCAATGTGAGGTATGCACGTCGACGTGACATTTGTCTGAAGCCCAGTATCTTGCGTGGGGCGAGGGTGAAACGGAGGGGGAGGGGAGAAAGGGAGGGGGGAGGGGAAAGGGAGGGGGGGAGGGAAGGACGGGGGAGGGAAGGACGGGGGAGGGAAGGACGGGGGAGGGAAGGACGGGGGAGGGAGGGGGAACGAGGGGGGAAAGGCAGGATTGCGGGGGGGAAGGAGGGGCCACTGCATAAACACCCATTACTTATTTTCAGGTTTTGAAGTCTAGGGGTCTGAGAAAGTGCAGGTTGGGCAAGCCCCTAGTAGAAGAAAGGGGATTAGGGACTAAGGTTTGTCATTTAGGATATACACACATGTGCGTATATAAATATATATATATATATACACATGTATGTATGTATGCATGCATGCATGTATGTATGTGTATTTTGTATGTATGTATGTATGTATGTATGTATGTATGTATGTATGTATGTATGTATGTATGCATACATATATATCTATATATGTGCATATGCATATATATATATATACATATCATACATATATATATATATATTCCGACTTCATTAAGGATTTTAGGTTGTTTGGGGTTTCCAAAAAAGAGGTGATCGGCTCCAGGCGGGCAAGGTGCGTGGACGTGCCAATGTTTGAGGCAGCTGTGGATAGATTTGATGAAGAAATATGGGTATTTCCCAAAATGAGGGGTACCCTTTTTTTGCCCCAGATAAAGTAAGAATCCCCTTGGAGGGGCCCCCCAAAAAGGGTACCCCGGATTTTCGGAAACCACCATATGGAGGTGTTCTTGACTCAGCATTCGCTGATGTCGCCGCATAGAGGAACCTTTGTAACGATCCCGCCCTGTCGCCAAAGAGCCTTATCACTGCGCAACCCTAAACTCACGGCATCTTAGAAGGGAATCAGGGAAACATGACGTCCCCGAAAATACTGTCAAGGGCCCTAAACCCTGAACCCTTGAACCTTTAAACAACACGCTGGACGCAGGGATATAACTCAACTCGGTATAGCTATAGAAGCCTTAAACCCTAAACCTAACCCTAAACCCTAAACCCTTAACCCTAGAACCTAAACCGTAAACCCTAAGCCCTAAACCCCAAATCCTACGCTTCTACCCATGTGCCTCCGGGTCTCTTGCAGGGATGCATTTAGCATAAGGCTTGGCTCAAGGCCTCGGGCTCAGGGTCTAGGGTCTAGGGTTTAGGGTTTAGGGTTTAGGGTTCAGGGTTTAGGGTTCAGGGTTCAGGGTTCAGGGTTCAGGGTTTAGGGTTTAGGGTTTAGGGTTTAGGGTTTAGGGTTCAGGGTTTAGGGTTCAGGGTTTAGGGTTCAGGGTTTAGGGTTTAGGGTGTAGGGTTTAGGGTGTAGGGTTTCGGGCGTGCGCCATCGAAGAGTTCCCACGGGCACCTCTACGTTCCGGGCCACTCCATCTCTTCAGACAAGGAGACTCTGGAGCATGCCAGCCGCACTTGCGTTTGTTGATGTGATGTGTACTGTCTCTCGGGTTTAGGGTTTAGTGTTTGGGGTTTAGGGTTTAGGGTTTAGGGCTTAGGGTTCAGGGTTTAGGGAAGTCATGAGCCCCAAAAATTTGTGCCCTTTCAGTTCCAGAAAGGATTTTAGTCCCCCCAACAGTGTAGGGTGTACTCATTCAGCTACTAAGCGTTTGTTGATGTATCTGTACTGTCTGTAGAGTTTAGGAAGTTTAGGGTTTTGGGTTTGGGGTTAGGGGTTTAAGGTTTTAGGTCTACAAACAAAGACGGAGCACACAGTCTACCATCAAGGATCCTAGACCCTAAACCACAAGCCCGTAAGCCCAAACCCCAAGCCCTTAAGCCCTGAACCATAAACCCTAAACCCCTACAACCTAAACCCTAACCCCCAAACCCGAAGGCCCTAAACCCTAAACCCTAAAATCCTTTGCTCACCTTAAGTTCAGGGAGGCCTCTCTCCCAGAACCAAGAAGTACAAGTACTAACCTTTTCTACCTTGGACCCTTAAGGTTGTACCCTTGGGTTTGGGGACCCCTTTTCAAGATCCATAAGGTACTATAAGGGCCATATTAGGAGTATGCTAGGGGGAACGTTTAGGGGTAGGGTACGAACGTTCATCCCGTGACCTTGACCTTAAGCAGCAACTTCCTAGAGGCAAGGGGCCTCTCGAAATTCAGGGCCTCAAAACCCCTAAGCCCTCAACCGTAAACCTCTGAACCCGACACCCTAAACCTTAAACTCCCAAACTCCCAAACTCCTGAACTCCTAAACTCCTAAAATCCTAAACTCCTAAACTCTTAAACTCCTAAACTCCTAAACTCCTAAAATCCTAAACTCCTAAACTCCTAAACTCCTAAACTCCTAAACTCCTAAACTCCTAAACTCCTAAACTCCTAAACTCCTAAACCCTAAACCCTAAACCCTGAACCCTGAACCCTTAACCCTAAAACCCTAAACCCTAAACCCTGAACCCTAGACCCTAGACCCTAGACCCTAAACCCTAAAACCCTAAACCCTGAACCCTAGACCCTAGACCCTAAACCCTAAACCCTAAACCCTAAACCCTAAACCCTAAATCTTCAATGGCAAATCGAAGGGCGCAAGCTCTGCAGCAGCATCTCCGGGTGGCGTGAGATGGACGAAGAGGGCGGTATGGGAAAGGAGTCAGGGGTTTAGGGCTTAGGGTTTAGGGTTTAGGGTTTAGGGTTTAGGGTTTAGGGTTTAGGGTTTAGGGTTATGGGGCTTAAGGCTTTCAAGAGTTTAGGGTTCAGGTTGAGGGTTTTGGGTACGGGCTTGGGGATTGAGCGGGTGAAACAGGCGAGGAGCCGTACGACGGCCGTTCCTGGCAGGTTTGGGGGTGGAGGGCATGGCGTTCTCGAAGTTTCGGGGTTACATATGGACCCAGAGGCAAATGCGCCCATCGTCAGCCGGACCAAAAGCCGAAGTTTAGGGTTTAGGGTTTAGGGTTTTGGGTTTAGGGTTTTGGGTTTAGGGTTTAGGGTTTAGGGTTTAGGGTTTAGGGTTTAGGGTTTAGGGTTTAGGGTTTAGGGTTTAGGGTTTAGGGGTTTAGGCGTTTAGGGTTTAGGGTTTAGAGTTTAGGGTTTGGTCTTGAGCTATTGTGAAGGCTTAAGGGCGTCAGGATCGTTGTGAAGGTTCTTGCCATTCAGATCTCAATCCAATCGCGGCATCCATGCCTGGCTAGCCCTCGCGAAATCCCACACCCTCTCAACGCAATGACAAAACAGTACGGGGGCGCAAACCCTAAACCCTAAACCCTAAACCCTAAACCCTAACCCCGAAACCCCTAAAGCCTAAACGGCCCTAAACCCTAAACCCTCAACCCAGGGATGCTTAAGGGCTCAGGGCTTGATGGGGTTTGGGGGGGCCCGCTAGCATTAGGGTTTGGGGTTTGGGGTTTGGGGTTTGGGGTTTAGGGTTTAGGGTTTAGGGTTTAGGGTTTAGGGTTTAGGGTGTAGGGTTTAGGGTTTAGGGTATAGGGTTTAGGGTTTAGGGTTTCTGCTAGCTTTGTAGGGCTGTGAGGTCTCGGGTGAAGGGCTTTTAGGGTCATTAGGGTTCTTCTGGTTCTTGGGGCGTTTAGGGCTTTCAGGGTTTTTAGGGATTTTGTTGGCCATTTTGGGCTCTTGGGCCTCTTGGGTTCTTATTTTAGGTTTAGGGTTTAGGGTTTAGGGTTTAGGGTTTAGGGTTTAGGGTTTAGGGTTTAGGGTTTAGGGTTTAGGGTTTAGGGTTTAGGGTTTAGGGTTTAGGGTTTAGGGTTTGGGTCCTTAGCTTTTGTTCGGGTTTTCAGGGTTCTTAGGGTCTTTAGGGGCTTTTGCTGTCCTCATCCATCGATGATCAGGCTGGATACTCGGACATCGCCTGGAGAGCAAAGCCGCAGCCCTGAACCGGACACCCTCGTCTCCCGAACAAGACGCCCAACATCAGGGTTTAGGGTTTAGGGTTTAGGGTTTAGGGTTTAGGGTTTCGGGTTTCGGGTTTCGGGTTTAGGGTTAGGGTTTCGGGTTTAGGGTTAGGGTTTCGGGTTAGGGTTAGGGTTTCGGGTTTAGGGTTTCGGGTTTGCCCAAGGGTGGAACAAGGGAACCAAGGGATGATAATAGAGCAATTTGGGGGGGCGAGTGGGGGCTACTTTGGTAGAAATGGGCTGGGGGCTATGTTGCTTGGAGATTCATCATGGGTGCTTGTAAGTAGGATTGTAAGTAGGGTTCCTAAACCCGGAACCCTGCAGCCTAGCCCCTAGTGATAACAGGTACATATTTAGGGTTTAGGGTTTAGGGTTGAGGGTATAGGGTTTAGGGTTTAGGGTTTAGCCGTCGTTCGGCACTCAGAGCCCTACTGTACCCTACTTGCAAACACCCATGAAGCTCCCTGTTCTTCACAAGTTCCTAGGGCCTGGGTTTCAAGATTTCGGGCTTGGGGTTTAGGGTGTAGGGGGAAACCCTAAACCCTAAACCCTAAACCCTAAACCCTAAACCCTAAACCCTAAATCCCACATCCGAAACCTCACAGGACACGTGCCCCAAACGCGCCTCCGACTCGAGCCGCAAGCGTTTCGGCATGAACTGCACAGGGAGGGGCTTCGGGCTCTCTTCGTTCGGAATTCTGGGTTTAGGGTTTAGGGTTTAGGGTTTAGGGTTTAGGGTTTAGGGTTTAGGGTTTAGGGTTTAGGGTTTAGGGTTTAGGGTTTAGGGTTTAGGGTTTAGGGTTTAGGGTTTAGGGTTTAGGGTTTAGGGTTTAGCCCCCTTGTAATTTCTGGAAGTCCTTAATAGGGATTCTAGCAGGGGGCACGATTATCCCTAGTAAGGACTGTTAGCATCAAGGGGAAGATCCCAAATTATAAGCGCAGTAGGCACCCACATATTCTACTTTCCCCCCCCCCCCCAGAAAAGTGAGCTTCAAGAGCGGATGCCGTGAAACTCCGGACGTCAATGGGTTGGAGTGTTTTGGGCAGTATTGGGTATTTCGGGACTTGGGTGTTTAGGGTTTAGGGTTTATTTGAGAGGCAAAACCCCCCCACCCCAGGAAAAAACCCTCTCAGTGGGAACCCCAAAACAGGGAACGCCAAGAACAGAGTAGGAAAGTAGTAGGAATATGTTTTACCGAGGTGCTTACATGTCCCCTTTGTATTCCCACTCTATTCGTGGGGTTCCCTGTTTGGGGTTCCCATTAGCCTGAGTTTGGGGGGTGTGCGTGCAGGGTTCAGGGTGAAAGGTTCAGGTTTAGGGTTTAGGGTTTAGGGTTTATGGCTTAGGGCTTAGGGTTTAGGGTTTAGGGTTTAGGGTTCGGGGTTTAGGGTTTAGGGTTTAGGGTGAAGGGTTAAGGGTTAAGGTTTAACGCGTGTAATACCTTCCATCGAACACTACAAAACCCAGAGTAGACCCCCTCGAAGGCCCGCAGCCCTTGGCAATCCATGCTGCAACCCTAAACCCTAAACCCTAAACCCTAAAACCTAGACCCTAAACCCTAAACCCTAAACCCTCAACTCTCACCCCAGGCAAGGCCTGTGCGGTGTCGTTGCAGACTGTCCTTCCTGTGACCTCCTCCACCTTCGCGCGGAACCTTGTGAAGGGAGCCCCACGGTGACTCTAGAAAAGAGCTTAAGACACCCTGAACCCTAAACCCGACACCCTATAAACCATATGAACCCGAAACCCTAAACGCGAAACCCGAAACCCTGAACCCTAAACCCTAAACCCTAAACCCGAAACCCTAAACCCTAAACCCTAGCCCTAAACCCTAAACCCTATAAGCCCTCGAACCCTGCAGCCGCAAAACTCCAAACCACGCCATCCTGGAGCCTAGGAAGCATGGTCCGTCAGGCCTTATTGTTTTGGTTCAGGGTTTAGGGTTTAGGGTTTCGGGTCGGGTGCAGACTTCAGGGTCTACGGCTTAGGGTTAACGAGTATTTGGGATGTTTCGCTTTTTCTGAGTGCTGGGCTCGTGGCTACTTCATCTGTGGGCCCTTTCGGTGCCCTAAACGATACCGGATGTCAGTTGTTGGTATCGGGTTTAGGGTTTAGGGTTTAGGGTTCAGGGTTCCGGGTTTGGGGGTTAGGGTTTAGGGTTTAGGGTTCAGGGTTGAGGGCTCCGAGTCTGAAAAAAAACCCTAACCCCAAACCATTGAGGAGGCCGCGTCTTGTTCACTGCACGATAGGACTCCATCCACTCCACCGCCTCGGCTCGGGGCTTCTTGGCTGCACTCAGGAGGGTAGCTGTAAATTAAACTTTTAGGGTTTAGGGTTTAGGGTTTAGGGTTTAGGGTTTAGGGTTTAGGGTTTAGGGTTTAGGGTTTAGGGTTTAGGGAAAAAATTTAGGGTTTTAGGTTTGGGTCCCCTAAACCTCCTAGCACGGCAAACCCAGGCGAAAGGCTGCCCCTTTGTGGTGGGGAACCCCCAGATGGTGGTTTGGGGGGAGGTGCTTGGGAGCCAAAGGCCTTAAGAAGGGTTCAAGGGTTCAAGGTTTCATGGGCTGCGTCTTGGAAGACCAGCTCCTGGGGTAGGCTCTAGGGGTTTAGGGTCTAGAGATTTGGGTTCGGGGCTTCATTTGTCCGAACTTGTCGCGCACACAAGAATCGACAGCACCCGCAGTTGAGGGGTCGCAGAACCATCAAGCTCAACCCCCCCGACCCCCAAACCACCCTCATGCCTGTCTCGCGTTCGTGGCGTTGCTCGAGAGGATTCTCTTGAAGAGCTCCCGCCTGGGCACACACACCCTAAGCCCGAAGGCCCTAGGCCCAAACCCTCAACCCTAACCCTAAACCCCTAAAGCCCGAAACCCCTCAACTCCTAAACCGCTAGGCCCCTACACCCCTTAAACCGCTAAACCCCTACACCCTAAACCCTAAACCCTAAGCCCTAAACCCTAAACCCTAAACCCTAAACCCTAAACCCTAAACCCTAAACCTGGAGCCACACCCAAGCCCAAGGATGCAGGGCGGAGCCCTCAGAGTGGGGAAGCCAGGGACTCACCAGCCCCCCGGAACTCGAATCCCAGAACCACCAAACTAGGGTTTAGGGTTTAGGGTTTAGGGTTTAGGGTTTAGGGTTTAGGGTATAGGGTTTAGGGTTTAGGGTTTAGGGTGTAGGGTTTAGGGTTTAGGGTTTAGGGTTTAGGGTTTAGGGTTTAGGGTTTAGGGATTAGGGTTTAGGGTTAGGGTTTAGGGTTTAGGGGTTTAGCGGTTTAAGGGGTGTAGGGGCCTAGGGGTTTAGGAGTTTAGGGGTTTCGGGCTTTAGGGGTTTAGGGTTTAGGGTTAGGGTTTAGGGTTAAGGGTTTGGGGTTCAGGGTTTAGGGTTTAGGGTTTGGGGTTTGGGGTTTAGGGTCTGGGTTTGCACTTAAAAACCGATCGCCTAAGCGCAGGTCGCAATCTTAGGCCCCAGATTTGTTCGTCCAAAAAAAGCCAGCGTTCGGGGTCTTAGGGTTTAGGGCTTTGGGTCGTAAGATTTGGTGCTCCCTCGAGCAAAGAAAAGATCGTGCACACACACACACACACACACTACCTAACCAACGAACGAACAAACTAACTAGCCAACTACACCCCAGACCTAAACACCAAAAACGAAACAAAACTCAAAATCCTAAAGCCCTAGAACCCCAAACCCTAATTTCGGAGCCCAAGACCCCCCTAAACTCAGTAACTGAGCCCGGAACCTTAACAGGCGTCAGGGTTTAGGCTTCATGGCTTCGGGTTTCTAACGCCAGCTTACAAACCGGTTTAATGTTAACCTCGTATTATTGAACCCCCTGATATTAAAGTGCGCCAGGGGTCCCGGCCGCAATACTAAAGCCCTGGGAATAAAGTACGCCAAGTCGGGGCTGGTTTTTTTGGGGGAGTTTGATTGAAGGGGGGCTCTAAGGAAAGGAATCCTTATTCAAAGGGGCCCTACTCTATTTGGGGGGGTTTGATTGAAGGGGGGGGTTTATTATTACGAGGTCAACATTAGTGTTTCGGGCTAAGGGTCAAGGGTTGAGAGTTGCTGGTTTCAGGGTGCAGAGTGTAGGGTTTTGGGCACGCCTTTTCCGAAGTGTGTTGGAAATCAACCCAAAGCAGTGGTTTAAGTTCTTCCGGCAAGCTCCTAAACTGCATGGCTGCATAGAAGTAGGGTTATGAGAAGGGCAGGTAACATAGTAGCCCTAAACCCTAAACCCTAAGCCCTAAACCCTAAACCCTAAACCCTAAACCCTACACCCTAAACCCTAAAGCCTAAAGCCTAAACCCTAAACCCTAAACCTAAACCCTAAACCCTAAACCCTAAACCCTAAACCCTAAACCCTAAACCCTAAACCCTAAACCCTAAACCCTAAACCCTAAACCCTAAACCCTAAAGGAAGGATGTTCCCCATCCATCCAGCAAGGTCCGGGCTCGGCAAACCTCTGCTCGAGCAGCTCACGGGATCGGCTCATGCAGGCCTGACAAGGTTTAGGGTTTAGGGTTTAGGGTTTAGGGCTTTGGGCTTAGGGCTTAGGGCTTAGGGCTTAGGGTTTAGGCTTTAGGGTTTAGGGTTTAGGGTTTAGGGTTTAGGGTTTAGGGTTTAGGGTTTAGGGTTTAGGGTTTAGGGCTCAGGGTTTAGGGCTTAGAGCCGCAGATTATACGGTGACTCCGTCAGGGCCAACGATGTTACAAAAATGCCCTTGCAGGGCTTGGGGCTTCTCAGATTTACGGACCATGGGGCTCTTGCATGCCCTGAGACCTTTGGGGTTTTAGGGTTTATAGTGTTTATCAACTTTACAGTGCTTTTACGGTTTATAGGGCTGAACCCTAAAGACCCAAACCCTAAACCCTAAACCCTGAATCCTAAACCTAATCCTAAACCCTACACCCTAAACCCTGAATCCTAAACCCTAAGCCCAGGGTTTAGGCACCCAGGGCTGGCTTCTCTGGGACTCGGGGGCCTCCATGACGAGGTCCATCGCCGGGTGGAGCAAGTCCAGGCGTTCACACCTGGGGCGATGTGTACCCTGAACCCCTAGACCCTAAACGCTGAACCCCATAAACCCTAAACCCTAAACCCTAAACCCTAAACTCTAAACCCTAAACCCTAAACCCTAAACCCTAAACCCTAAACCCTAAACCCTACCAAAGCTTTGCGGGTCTTCGCCTTAAGGGCTTTCGGGCCCCTGAACCTCCTCGCCTCGGTCTAATTCCAGTGAAGGGGTGCCCCCAGGTGCGTAAAGATGTGCTGAGGCTTTAAGGGTTTTTAGGGTTTAGGGTTTAAGGTTTAGGGTTTAGGGTTAGGATATTCCCCCTTATACCAACTGTGCTTAATAGGGATCACCATTCCCGCCCACTATTGCAATCCTGTTCAGGACTTTTAGTATAAGGGGGACATCCCTTCAGGCCCTATCGTAGAGTTCAGGGTCTTGAAGTTCCAGGTTTGGGGTCCTGAAGTTTTTGGGTTAAAGTTTAGGGGTTCAGTGTTTAGGGTTTAGGTATAAACCCTAACCCCTAAACCCCCAAACCCTAAACAAAAATAGTTGTTACGTGGTTTGGTGGTGCAGTTGGGCTCAGGTTTAGGGTTCAGGGTTTAGGGTTCAGGGTTTAGGGTTCAGGGTTCAGAGTTTAGGGTTTAGGGTTTAGGCCTCAGGGTTTCGAAGGGCTACTTGGGAGGCCCACCCTAGGCACACAGAAGGCATAGACCCTCAACCATAATACCCCCCCATCCTAAGTTCTTAGTAGCCCAGTAACCATATTACAATGAGGGCACCCTTTGTGGGGTTGGTTGCTTTATAAGGGAACCTTGAACCAAAAAAAAGGGTAAAGGGTAAACCCTAAACCCTAAACCCCTGAACCCCTAAACCCCTAAAACCTAAACCCTAAACCCCAAGAGTTACAAAGCATACCGAGGTAGCGCATTCGGCTCAGGCCCGCACGTTTTTCCTTGGCGGCGCGGGAGCAGGAGCAGCTTTTTGGAGTGTAGAACTTTCAGGTCAAACCCTAAACCCTAAACCCATAAACCCATAAACCCATAAACCACCATAAACCCATAAACCCATAAACCACCATAAACCCATAAACCCATAAACCCGTAAACCCTTCTAAACGAAGGGTCTAGGCTTAATGCTGTTTGAGGCAAACCCCTAAAGCATAAATGCAGAAAGCCCATTTTGGGAGACCTGCGAGTAATCACTGGCAAAGGTCCAGCCAGAAACACTCGACCTGATGCCCTACACGCAAAATCGATTTGGGGTTGCGGGGCCCAAAAGTGTTTAGGGTTTAGGGTTTGGGGTTTGGGGTTTGGGGTTTGGGGTTTGGGGTTTGGGGTATGCGCGCACGCCCTATTTGATTTCACGCCCGTCCCGTCAGTCGTCCAACCGCGTCTCATTTCTTTACTGGCCTCTCAACTCATGAAACACGAAACAATTACATTGTACAGGGTTTGGGGTTTAGGGTTTAGGGCTTAGGGTCATAACCACAAAAGCCAAACCCTCAACCCTGAAACCGTCTGTGGGGATTCGGGGTGAGTGGCGCCGCTACCCCGAGAGGGGGGGGTGTCGGGGGTGTGTTCGACTCCCTCAACATGCTCAGACCAGGGTTTGGGGCTACCGTAGGGTTTGGGAGTTTGGGGTTTATATGATTTTAGGGTTTAGGGCTTTAGGTTCTTAGGGTATTTGGGCACTGAGCCGAGCATCGAAGCTCCTCGAACATCTGCTTGGTGATGTTCATGCGGAGACCCCCATGGTCCGCAGGCACCTGAGCGCCATGAACATTGCTGTCCCAGTAAACCCTAAACCCTAAAACCTAAACCCTAAACCCTAAACAACCCCCCCCCCCTGCACATGGCACGATCCAGACCCTGAAGCTCTCCAATCCCCACCATCCCACCTGCTGCAGTTCATTAGGGTTTAGGGTTTAGGGTTTAGGGTTTAGGGTTTAGGGTTTAGGGTTTAGGGTTTAGGGTTTAGGGTTTAGGGTTTAGGGTTTAGGGTCTAGGGCAGCAGAAGCAGAAGCAGCAGCAGCAACGGCAGCAGCACCTTGGACTTTCTCCGTTGCGACACCTCCTCGCGCGCTCACTGAATGAATGTGGCTTGAAATGGCAGGCAGATTCCTACTATTTGCTTAAGAACCCCCTTCCAAAAAAACACACAAAATAAATAATAAATAAATATATATATAAGGAATAATTTGTTTTTTTTTTGTTCGGGGGGGTTCTTAAGCAATTAGTAGTGAATGCGGGCTTGAAATGGCAGGAAGATTCTCCTGCTAAACGAGACCAATCAAGAACAGCTCCGCTTGAATTCTGGGAGCTGTGACTTGCTAGTGGGCGGCGCGAGCCCAGAGTACACGCCAAAGAAAGACTTAACGTGCTCACAAAATTTCTGTGAGGCTGCATTGAGCCCGGGAGCGTGTGTACGCAGGGCATGCGAAAGCGACGTGGACTCCTTCTCAAGCTTCCGAAGCTGCAGTTCTGCCTCGTGTAGCATCAGCCAGAAGTCAGAGCACTCCTCCAAGACCCGGCATATGCCATCCAGATGCATCAGGGCCAGTTCCAGGAGCTTCTGCAACTCCTTGTCCGTGTCGCTAAGCTCAAGTGGGGCCTGGCACTCGAGGCTTCCGCCCTCATCCTCGACAGGTTCGGGCAAAGAGCTCATCACCAGCTGGTCCACCGTGATCTGTACACACTGGCCCAGGTACTGCATGTACTTGAGAAAGTCGATGTAGTCCGCACGGACGGATTTCGCCCCCTCGAACAAGAGGGCGATGCTGTCATGAAGCTCCACCACGCAGGCCACGAGCTGCGCGTCAGCAGACCTCGCCCAAAGCAGCGCGGGAAGCTTCTCTAAAGCCTGGGTTGCAGTCATGCTGAGATTCCCAGCCACCCTCTGTGCGGAGTCCACCAGCTCAGCAAAGAAGATTTGGGAGACGGTGGCTGCAGCAAGCAAGTCGTGGTCAGTTTGTGACAAGCTAGCCTCCACGAGCTGCAACTTCCCCGCCACGGCATCGCTGAACATCCTCAAGTCCGTCGAGCTGCCATCAGGTTGATACAAGACCGGGCCACCCTGGTAGGAGCTGCAAGAGCTCGCTGACACGATGGATCTGCTTGCCAGAGCATGGTCTACTAGCCCGGTGCTGCTCACCGCCACAGACCCGTCCTGAAACTGGGAGCGAGAGCCCCAGTCGCGGCAAGTCTCACCCCGACAGGCTTGCCATTGCATGACTGTAGCAACTTAACTGGAAACCCCCAAACCTTAAACCCTAAACCCTGAACCCTAAACCCCAAACCCTAAACCCTAAACCCTAAACCCTGACCCCTCTGTTGGGGAGAAGGGCTTGCCGGCAGAAAGAAGACGCTCCGCTTGCATGCCAACAAGAAAACCTCTGTGCGCCCAGCAGATACGAACGTCACGCAACCCTAAACCCTGAACCCTAAACTGTTTAAACTACTAATAGCTTAAGACCCCCACAAAAAAAATATTCTTCCTTATAAGGGCAGTGTAAGGATGATGACTTTCTTCTGGGGGTTCTTAAGCAAGTAGTAGTAAACTCAAGCCCCATATAACCCTAACCCCGAACTGAGCAGGTGGCCTGTAGCGCATTGTTTTGGCGATAAGTACTCCACCTGGGGGGGTTTAGGGTTTGGGGTTTGGGGTTTAGGGTTTAGGGTTTGGGGTTTGGGGTTTGGGGTTTGGGGTTTGGGGTTTGGGGTTTGGGGTTTGGGGTTTGGGGTTTGGAGTTTAGGGTTTCGGGTTCAGGGTTTCGGGTTTGGGGTGTGGGGTTTGGGGTTTAGGGTTTGGGGTTTAAGGTTTAGGGTTTAGGGCGGGGGGGGGGGGGGGGATTTCAACTGAACACGCTTTCTTGCTAGCGAGGTGAAGGGGTTCAAGAGTACACCCTAAACCCTAAACCCGAAAGCCTTAAAGCAATAGGGTTGCCATAGAAGGTCGTCCAGGGTGCTTCCTATGGCTGAAGGACCTTTCACACTACAAACTTCGACCCTAAACCCCATGTAAACCCCAGAAGGAAAAAGGGTTAGTAAGGGGGCTTAGCAGGTTTGTGGTCAATGGTTTTGAGTGTTTACGGGACCGCTTCAGCATGAACTCGCTGAGTGAGGGGGTTTAGGATTAGGGTTTAGGGTTTAGGGCTTACGGAATCTGACAGGGTTAGGGTTGTGGGGTTTGGGCCAGGTTTGGGGGGTTCTGGGAATTTCGGGGGTGGGTTGAGTGTTTAGTGTTTCGGGGGGGGGGGGGGGGGGGGGAGGGAGTTCGTAGCAAAGCAAACTCCGTAGTGAGCCTTTTTTGCAAACTCCCGGAGCCTTATTGCCACAGGCCTTGTGTTGTGGTCCCGGGGTTGAGGTTTTTACGGGCTTGGGGTTTGGCAGCTTTTGGTTCACGGCTTAGGATTTCGGCCCCGCGCCCCAGACCCCTGCAAGACTAAACCCTAAACCCTAAACCCTAAACCCTAAACCCTAAACCCTAAACCCTAAACCCTAAACCCTAAACCCTAAACCCTAAGTGGGCCCAGGTCTGGTGGGGGAGCTTCCACAACCCGCAAGCCCCAAACAAACCAAACCCAGGGTTTAGGGTTTAGGGTTTAGGGCTTAGGGTTTAGGGTTTAGGGTTTACGGTTTAGGGTTTGGGGTTTTAGGTTTTTGGGTTTAGGGCGTAGGGACATTGTCAAGGCCCCCAGCCTTCGAAAAGCGCAAACTCACAGACCCCGAAAATCCCCCTGAACTCTCAAGGCTTCCCCAAAACCCAAAACACAAAACCTAAAACCCAAAAACCAAAAACCCAAAACCCAAAACCTAAAACCATAAACACCCCTAAACCCTAAACCCCAAAAAACCCGAAACCACTGAACCTGAAAGGCCTCCTGAAAGCCGCCACTGAAACCTCTCAAGGTTACAAGGCTTTCCCAACCTTGGCAAGCCCTGACCCTTAACCCTAAACCCTCAACCCTAAACCCTAAGCCCTCAACCCTAAACCCTCAACCCTAAACCCTAAACCCCAAACCCCAAACCCCAAACCCCAAACCCTATACCCTAAACCCTAAGCCCTTGCAGTATGCAGGTGTCCGGACTTGCAGTTGCCCACCGCAGAGATGGACCTTGCTCGGATCGGGTTTAGGGTTTAGGGCTTAGGGCTTAAGGCTTCGGGTTTGGGGTTCAGGGCTAGGGTTTAGCGCTCACGGCTGAGCGGAGGGGTCTCGAGAAACCCTAAACCCTAAACCCTAAAGAGGGGCATCGAGTGTATCGTGCTATGGGGCTCCTCTTTTCTACTATTTGCTTAAAGGCCCCTCTTTTAAGGAAGGAACATTCTTTTCTTTTTTCTTTTTTGGGGGGGGGGGGGGAGGAGATTCCTAAGCAATTCGTAGTTTTGAGGCGGCAAGCCACCGTTACCTTGTTGCCAGCTACTTGGCGGTTTCATGGGTACGTAGAAGTAGGGCTCTACGTACCCTAAACCCTAAACCCTTAGCCCTAAACCCTAAACCCTAGACCCTCAACCCTAAACCCGAATTAAGCCCTGTAACCCTATAACCCTAGACACGCTAAACCCCCAAACCCTCAACTCGAAACCCTAAACCTTGTAGCCATAACTGCCCTACGTACCATCCTGCTTCTAAGTGCCCTTCCAAACCTCCAATAACTAGACCCGGAAGTATCCTAGGAAACAAAAGGCACCCTTTTTGGTTTTAAGGGGATTATAAAGGACCCCAACCCTACAAAAAGGAAAAAAGGGCCTGCTCCCGGTCCTACATAAGGATTTAGGGCAACGGGGGCGAGGCCGTGGACGGCCACACACATGGTTTGATGCTAGGGTTTAGGGTTTAGGATTTAGGGTTTAGGGTTTAGGGTTTAGGGGTTAGGGTTTCGGGTTTAGGGCTTAGGGTTTAGGGTTTAGGGGCACCCTACTTATATGTAGGGCGACTACGGGCTGCAAGCCTTACAGTGCTTCATCGCGCCCGGGGCGAGATGAAGACAGTGAACGAAAAGGACCGAAAGAATGAGAGAACGAAAGCAACGAGCGAACGCCAAAGGAAAAGACTCAAGAGTGAGGAAAAGTCACCACTTTTTCTTTCACAACAATTTTTTTTGTCGGTGAGGCGTCAGAGCCCGAAAATTTCGACGGGTCACCCCCCTGTGTTGCACACGTGTGCCGCGTGTCGCGGGCCTGTCTCGGAGGCCTGTTTGCAGAGGAAGGGCTTGTCGCGGAGGAGGCTCGCGACGCAAAGAGAACAGTTGTCTCAGAAACCCTTTCTATGCCTACATCGCAAAAAGGGCGCCCCCATGTGTTCGGTGGGGACCACACGGGAATAATATTGGTAATTATTCCGACCCCTATATTCACAGTTGCCATATGCCTGGAAGGAGCGAGAAACATTGACAGGAAACATCCGACACAGGACACTTTGATCCGCGGTTCGCGACGCCCACAGGAATCCTCATCCTGCTCGTGCAAATCAAAAGCGCGCAACGTTCATATTGCGAGAAATGGATCAGTCTGTTGGTTTCTTCTAAGCTCGCGAAAATTGCATAAATCCTAGGTAGGATAAGGGGGACCCTTAAAAGGGAACCCTTCTTAACCCTCTTCTGGCTCTCTTGAACAGGGACCTTATTCAGAGGGTCTATATCCCCAAGGGTCCCCCGAATCCTAACCCCTGCATAGAAGCATCAGACATGGAATGACTTGTCTAGAGCATGAAACGCGCAAATCTGTCGATTAATGCTTGAATGTTGGGATATTCCCCTTATATACACTAACAGTCCTTAGTAGGGGTTATAATCGAGGGTACTGTAATCCCCATTCAGGACTGTTTGTCTAAGGGGGGGCATCCCAGCTTGAATAGACCTTAAGATCAGAAACCGAATGGAACGAAGACCCGGCTTAAGCCTCGAGAAGCACGATCAACGGACGCCTCCTTATACTAACAGTCCTTCATAGGATTATAGTACCCCCTAATCTCATCCCTATTAAGGACTGCTAGTTTACGGAGAAAATCCCAACTTCTGTTTGTCATTTGGCCACCACATAAAACCCAGTTCTTCGGCTTGTGTACCGTCACTATTCACCGTTCCAACCACATCCCAACTTGACACTGAACCAGCCCCTTCCTGACTACACCCTACTGAACCTTTCGATTTCTGCAAGTCCAATTAGATCGGAGACAACCCCAAATCCTCAACCCTGAACCCTCCACAACTGCAACAGGAAAGGCTCCAAAGTTGTCTGAAAACCCGACTTGGAATGGGAGGTTCATGGGTACTTATATGCAGGGTTTAGGCCCTTCCCTCCCCAAACACGTCTAAACAGATGAGCCTAATGAGAAGGGTATTTCGGGTGGTTTTGTATCGAGGGATTGCTAGGGGAACCCTAAACCCTAAACCCTAAACCCGAAGCCCTAAGCCCTAAGCCCTAAGCCCTAAACCCTAAACCCTAAACCCTAAACCCTAAACCCTAAACCCTAAACCCTAAACCCTAAACCCTAAACCCTAAACCCACCCCAACCCTAAACCCTAAACCCTGAACCCTCGGCCGGGTCAGTTGCGCAGACTTGCCACTGCCATCGTGCTCGACTCCGAAGGGGCCTCAATCTCAAAATGCTTGGTTTGGGTACAGTGTTTAGGGTTTAGGGTTTAGGGTTTAGGGTTTAGGGTTTAGGGTTTAGGGTTTAGGGTTTAGGGTTTAGGGTCTAAGGTCTAGGTTTACGGTGTATTTAGGGCTTAGCATGTTCAAGGCTTCAGCCCTTCTTAACGCGAACCGAGCCCTGAAACCAGCAGTTTGCAACTGTCAATGCCCTCTACTAGAGTCTAGGGCTGGAGCTGAGGGTTTAAGGTTTAGGGTTTAGGGTTTAGGGTTTAGGGTTTAGGGTTTAGGGTGTAAGGTTCAGGGTTCAGGGTTCAGGGTTTCGGGATGAGGGTTAGGGCTTCGGGTTTAGGTTTAGGGTTTAGGGTTTTTAGGGGGTTTAGGGGGTTTAGGGGGTTTAGGGGGTTTAGGGGGTTTAGGGGGTTTAGGGGGTTTACGGGGTTTAGGGGGTTTCGGGGGTTTGGGGGGTTTTAGGGGGTTAGGCGGTTTAGGGGGCTTAGGGGGTTTCGGGGGTTTAGGGGGCTTAGGGGTTTAGGGTTCAACCTGGAAAAGACTAATAACACTTTATTTCCAGGGCTGGCTGAGAAGCGTTTAGGGTTTAGGGTTTAGGGTTTAGGGTTTAGGGTTTAGGGTTTAGGGTTTAGGGTTTAGGGTTTAGGGTTTAGGGTTTAGGGTTTAGGGTTTAGGGTTTAGGGCACCCCAAATAGAGTAGAATCCCTAAAAGGAACCTAAAAAGGGGCACCCCCCATTTTTCGGAAACCCCCATATGGGGATCTGGTGGAGTAATGGTTTAGTTTGGGTATTTCCCAAAATAGGGGTACCCCTTCGAAACCCCTATTTTCGGCAACCCACGTTTGGGCTTCGGGAGCCTCACTAAGCAGGTTTGAGGCAAGCGGGTTAACTGCAGCGCGCAGAAGTTTCGAGTTTTTCTGGGCTTTAGGGCTAAGGTTGGGTAGTTGGGCAATCTTGGTTCACGCCGAAAGGTGTCATATCCCCCAGGCCCTAAACCCTAAACCTAAACCCTAAACCCTACACCCTAAACCCTCAACCCAAACCTTAAACCCTAAACCCTAAACCCTAAACCCTAAACCCTAAACCCTAAACCCTAAACCCTAAACCCTAAACCCTCAACCCACCCCTTAAACCCTAAACCCTAAACCCTAAACCCTAAACCCTAGCCCTAAACCCTAAACCCCAAGCGAACCAGGGCTCTGCCCCTGAGTCCAGCGACTTCGCTTCTGCGGCGCCGTTCCCTCCAGGCCCACCCTTGGCTCATGGACGCTTCAGGTGAGAGTTTAGGGTGTAGGGTTTAGGGTTTAGGGTTTAGGGTTTAGGGTTCGGGGTTTAGGGTTTAGGGTTTAGAGGTTACAGCAAATAATTAGTCTATGCCTACCACAATGTCTAATGACATTCTCCCTTGGGAGATGGGATTTCATGGCCTTAGAGTGCTCATATATTTATAGAGAGAGAGAGAGAAAAAGAAAAAAAAAAAAAAAAGAGAGAGCACAAAAAAACTGGACAGTTTGGTTCTGGTGACCTACCATCATCCATGCCCCCCCCCCCCCCCCCCCCCAACCCGAACGACCTTGCATTTCCGGAAGTCATTGCCCCAAGCATCCCTTTTTTCAACTCTAGGTTCCCTTACAAGCCCCGTTAAAACAAAAAGGGCACCCTCTTTCTGCATAGGTTACTCTTGGGTCTGGAAGATATTCGGTGGGTTTGGGGCTTAGGGTTCCCCCTCTTTCTTCCTGGGTGACTCTTGGGTCTAGAAGATATTCGGTGGGTTTAGGGCTTAGGGTTCAGGGTTGAGGGCTTGAGGTTGAGTTTTTCCTTCTTGGGCTTGTGGCAAGGAGCAGAGGTCGAGGGTTCAGGGCTTAGAGTTCAGGCCGAAGGGCCTCATAGGTGGCTTCAAGTAGGTTTTGGTGCCCCAAATGGGCATTTCCCAAAAAAGGGGTAACCCCTTATGTATCCCCAAAGACTGTATGATCCGTTTCAAGGAACCCCCAAAAAGGGTGTCCCTACTGTCGGAAACCCCCAGATAGGAGTACAACGACGTGTGGGGTGAAGGCTGTCCATGGACCTGCGAAAATCAGGGAGCGACGTGAGGCAGGCTTTGGGCTTAGGGGCTTAGGGGCTAAGGGCTAAGGGGCTAAGGGGCTAAGGGGCTTGGGGGCTTAGGGGCTTAGGGGCTTAGGGGCTTAGGGGCTTAGGGGTTTCGGGGCCTATGGGCTTGGGGTGTAGGGTTTAGGGTTGACTAGTTCATGGCTGGGATACTATGAAAAATTCAAATTTCTATTCCTTATTGTGTTTAAGTACCCTTAAAAATGTAAAATGCTACCCCACTACGACAGAGTTGAGGGTTCAGGGTCCAGGGTTGAGGGTTGAGGGTTTAGGGTTTAGGGTTTAGGGCCTACAGTACCAGACCCTTGGTCCACAGCAGGCGAGCGCGGAGACCGACCTTTCCTGATTTTCGCCGCAAGGTGAAACGTGAGATCTTGCTGACATTACTCTAGCTTGGCTCCTTAAACCCTCTTAAAAATCTACTCCCATCATATGACCCTCTTGAACCCAAGAAGGGAACCTATGTACTATCCCAGAGGCCGACACTAGCACTGGCTTCCCCAGGATGAACCTGGGGCCGAGGAGACTATTCAGGCCTGATGGACAGGCAGCTGCGGCTTGACGTTGGGGGGCGCGATCCCAGAGTAGGTACCGCAGAAGGAGCGGACATGCTCACAGAAGCTCTGCAGAGCGACCTTGCCACCACGCCTGCGCTCAAGGGTTTAGGGTTTAGGGTTTAGGGTTTAGGGTTTAGGGTTTAGGGTTTAGGGTTTAGGCTTAGGGCTTAGGGCTTAGGGCTTAGGGCTTAGGGCTTAGGGCTTAGGGCTTAGGGCTTAGGGATTAGGGCTTAGGGCTAGGGTTTAGGGTTTAGGGTTTAGGGTTTAGGGCTTAGGGTTTAGGGTTTAGGGTTTAGGGTTTAGGGTTTAGGGTTTAGGGTTTAGGGTTTAGGGTTTAGGGTTTAGGGTTTGGGGTTTGGGGTTTGGGGTTTGGGGTTTAGGGTTTAGGGTTCACTGCGCCTGTGCTCACTCTCCGGGCGAGGGCCCTCTGAGAGCAACTTGGACTCCTTCTCCAGCTTCCGGAGTTGCAGCTCTGCCTCGTGAAGCATCAGCCAGAAGTCAGAGCAATCCTCCAAGACCTGGCACATGCTGTCCAGATGCACAAGCGTCAGCTCCAGGTACCTCTGCGAGTCTTTCTGCGCGTCGGTGAGCTCCAAGCCGAATTGAGATTGGCACTCGAGGCTTCCGCTCTCATCCTCGACAGGCTCGGGCAAAGAGCTCATCACCAACTGGTCCACTGTGAGCTGCGTGCACTGCCCCAGATACTGCGCGTACTTCAGCAAGTCGATGTAGTCAGCACGGACTGACTGCGCCTCCTTCCGCATCGTTGCGATGCTGCCATGAAGCTCCACCGTGCACTCATGCAGCTCCGCATTTCCGTGCCCTCTTGCTGCCCAAAGTAGTGTCGGAAGCTTGTCGAGGGCATCGCTTGCCGTTGTTGCAAGCTTGCCAGCCACCATCTGCGCTGAACCTATAAGCTCCACCACGAAATTTTGCGTGATCCCAGCGGCTCCTAGCAAGTCCCTGTCTGTCTGCGAGAAGCAGGTCGTGACAACTTGCAGATGGCCCACGAAAGCCTCGCTGAAGACCTTTAAGTCCGTGGCGCTCGGCTGATATAAAGGCCGTGCAGCCTGGTAGGAGCTACAGGAGCTGGCCGAAACCACAGACCCAGTGGTCTGAAAATAAGCCGGGCTCACGCCAACGCTGCTTACTATCACAGACCCGTCGTGAACTTGGGAACGGGAGCCCCAATCCCGCGGGCTTCCGCCCGCAGTGGCTCGCATGATGCTACCTAGGAACGATGTGTCTTAATTACTCGCATTCTTGGGCCAATAAAGAGGTTCTGCCGAAGCACCTACCGATCCCATCAGCGTCCAACGGTCCATGAATCCCTCGTGGCTGAGGCGGCTCAGGCTCAGGTGTCATGGGCTCCCTGCTACCCCCCTCTATACTATCCCCCCCTAGGTTCCCCCCTTAAATAACCTTAGTTAGGCTTGATTAGCCCTGAATTGCCTTAACTATGCTGGGGGAACCTAGGAAGAGTAGCTTGTTTTTGGGTTTTTTTTTTTGGGGGGGGGGGGGGAGAGTTTAGTAGGGGAACCCACGAAGGTGCTCTAGCTGTCTGCACTGAGGCTGAGGCAGCACGGAGGACACGTGGTGCGTCTCCTTTCAGGTTCTGGGAGCTGTAGGGACGCACGGCCCAAAGTTGGGCACGTGGCTTTCGGTTTAGTCATGAAATCTGACTTGCCCCCCCTCCCCCCCCAGCACAAAAGGCCAGTACAACGCCTGTTTAAGCTTAATGGAGTGTGCTAAAGCCGGTGCCCAAAAACCGCTAGTCAGGGCATGCATAAGCTCCTCCTCAACCGCAGAAGGGAAGATGTACCATATTTTAAGCCCACGTTGGTACAAGCCCATCAACACAAAGAACCCCCTCTAGAATCCTAAGCGCTTAAGCATTTCTCAAGCCCCTGAACCCTACACCCTGAACCCTAGGCAGCATCCTAGTCACAGTCCAGGCGCCTCTCACCCATGCGTTTGCAAATGCAACAGCACCGACCACGAACCCTGGACCCTGAACCCCAAACCCCAAGCCCTCAACCTAACAACGCCTAAACCCAAACAGCCGAGACCCCAAATCTCAGGTTGGGCATACAACACCAACTTGCTAGAGAAAACTCACCCTGTCATGAGTCATCAGCCTAGGACCAAAACCGTTGGGGTTGAGGGTTTAGGGATTTAGGGCACCCCAAACCCTTACATCTACAGGCAGAATTCATCCTGCTCCCTGGCCGCAATGTCCCAGAAGTCTCCACCTTTGACCTTGCATGGTGACCCGGCTTCAAGAGCTTCTTCAAGGGCTTCAGGATATACGGTGCAGGGATTTAGGACTGAAACTTTGGGGTCTTACGCCAAGGCAGGCTTTCGGGTTGTCGTAATTAGGGGCGAATATGGGGTTGATTTAAGACCCCATAAGGTTCTTATATGGCTTAATAATACGAGCATTCTTGCCGTGGATTAAGAAGGTCTCAAGATGGCACAACAATGGCTTTAGTCAAGGCTTTAGATGGCTCTTGTAGTACATGTCCAAGCTCTTGGGGAGTATGCTACTGGGTCTCGTTTTTCGGGAGCCGTCTGAAGACGTTCTGTCGTGAACGACTGCCCCAGCAATGACCCTGCAGTATCGCGATTGGGGTCCTCAACCCTGAACCCTGAACCCTTCAGGGCTTATGGTTTAGGACTTAGGTCCGCAAGTCCTCAAAAACATAACCTACAACGCCCAAACCTGGAGGTTCATAGTTTCAGTGCACTAGAAGTAAAACGTCAACAACTGTAGCTAGTTGCGACCTTCTTTGGGTTACTCGCAACCCTAGTTGCGCTAAACCCACGGTGCTTCAGGCCCAGGGCGTTTTCAAACCTGGCCAAAAGAAGTGCGCAGCCTCACGCCTTTACTCTGCAGCCTGACAGGCCTTATGCTTACTTCTCCAATAACCAAGGGGAAAAATGTTACACTTAATATTCCTACTAATTAAGGAAAACCAAAAGTAATAAAGTTCAGCTAAAGGCGAAGTAAGTATGCGCTGGAGGAATTTCGGGGGTTTAGGGTCTATGGGTTTAGGGGGTTTATAGACCCTAATTCCAAAGCAAGCCTTTCAAGCTAAAACACCCTAACAGTAAACCTTGAAGCCTACTTGAACGTTCACGGGTACTTTTAAGTAAGGTTCTAAGTAGGGCAATATGGTTGGGACCTTAGTTCGGGTACCTACAGCCCAACTTATAAGGACCCCTAAACCCCAAACCCTGAACCCTAAACGCCTAAACCCTAAACGCGTAAACCCTAAACGCGTAAACCCTAAACGCGTAAACCCTAAACCCTGAACCCTAAACCCTAAACCCTAAACCCTAAACCCTAAACCCTAAACCCTAAACCCTACACTCCAAGCAAACCCCACCCCCCAAAACCCTGGGCGGAACGGCCCCCTGGAGCTGGTTGTCCGGCATCCAGGCCTGGGCATCGGCTGCTTGGGGGAGTTCGAAATCAGGGTTTAGGGTTTAGGGTTTGGGGTTTGGGGTTTGGGGTTTCGGGTTTAGGGTTTAGGGTTTAGGGTTTCAGGGTTTTAGGGTTTAGGGTTTAGGGTTTAAGGTTTTTAGGTTGAGCACTTTACGAGGGCTTAGGGCAGGAAGCCACACATTGCCCAGGCATAGGAGTGAAACTTTACTAGGCTTGGGGGTTTGGGGTTTGGGGTTTGGGGTTTAGGGTTTAGGGTTTAGGGTTTAGGGTTTGGGGTTTGGGGTTTGGGGTTTAGGGTTTAGGGTTTAGGGTTTAGGGTTTAGGGTTTAGGGTTTAGGGTTTAGGGTTTAGGGTTTAGGGTTTAGGGTTTAGGGTTTAGGGTTTAGGGTTTAGGGTTTAGGGTTTAGGGTTTAGGGTTTAGGGTTTAGGGTTTAGGGTTTAGGGTTTAGGGTTTAGGGTTTAGGGCTTGGGGTTCCAGGGTTCCAGGGTTCCTGGGGTTATAGGGGTCCAGGATTCGGGGGGTCCCCCAACAGGGTTAGCCCCCAAGAGCGGCAGACCTCATGCTCAGCTAGTACTGTCGGTGGCTTCGGGTTTTGGATCTAGGTTTCAGGGTTTGGCGACCTGCACAGCTTAGCTTTGCAGGGGTCATAATGCAATAAGTCTAGGGTATTAATGCAGACGGTATGTTGCGAACTACTCCTCTATGCAACCCTACATAAACCCTATAGCAACCCCCTATAAACCCTACTATAAAAACAAAACAATAAAACAAAAAATGAAGCCCTGCATAAAACCCTAAACCCTAAACCCTACATACACCCTAGATCAACCCCATACAAACCCTAAATAGAAACTAAAAAACATATTAAACCCTGCAAAAACAGGAACTGTGAGCCGCAACTGAGGCCAGCGGCAAAGTTGGGCGACGCTTTGAGGCTCAGCCGCTGCGCTTTGCCGCCCAGCGTCGTGGTGCGTTCGGTGGCTGACGGACGGGCGAGTGTTGCTTGGGGGGGTTTAGGGTTTAGGGTGTTTAGGTTTAGGGCTTAGGTTTAGGGTTTAGGGTTTAGGGTTTAGGGTTTAGGGTTTAGGGTTTAGGGTTTAGGGTTTAGGGTTTAGGGTTTAGGGTTTAGGGTTTAGGGTTTAGGGTTTAGGGTTTTGGGTTCGTTTTTCTAGGGTGTGGGGCTTTAGGGGGTTCAGGAGTGTCTAGGGGCCCAAATCTTCATCTTGCCGTGGAGAGGTAGCTTCAGTGAGTCATTGGGTCCGGGCAAGGGGGGTTTACACGCCTGCAACAAACGGCTGAGTATTCCAAAAGGTCTAGAGGGAGCGGCATAAGTACGAGTAGCATCACGACATGGCAACCGGAGTCTCCGGCAATCCTAATGCTAAGGGTTCCTGCTTCTGCTGCGCTCATAAGAATCCTGAATACAACTGCAACCGAAAGAAAAACGACACAACAATGTAACAGCATAATTCGGGATGTTCCCCCTTATACGAACAGTCCTTAATAGGGATTATGGACTGTTAGTAGAAGAAACACAAATAACCATTTGAAAATAATCATACATGGCTAGCCTTAGTGCAGCAACTGCTTCAAGCTCCGGTAGCTCCCGCAGTGCGACAAGGAAGATGCCGGCTGCCGCACACCCTAAAACCTGTTCAGCAAACCCTAAACCCTAAACCCTAAACCCTTATCCCTAAGGCCTAAACCCTAAAACCCTAAACCCCTAAGCTCTCGAAGAGCTCTATGGGCTTCAGCGTTTCAAGGTTCAGGACTTCGAGGTTGAGAGGGCTAAGGGGGGATCAGGTTGATGGCTCAGGAATAAGGGTTTCGGGTTTAGAGTTCAGAAACCCTAAACCCTAAAACCCTAAACCCTAAACTTTAGAAAATGTAAACGCAGTCTGTGCCAACTGGAGGGTCGCCTGAAAGAGCCGCCGACGGAGAGAAGTTCCTAGCCAGGGATTTTGGTTTAGGTTTTAGGGCTTAGGGCTTAGGGCTTAGGGCTTAGGGCTTAGGGCTTAGGGCTTAGGGCTTAGGGCTTAGGGCTTAGGGCTTAGGGCTTAGGGCTTAGGGCTTAGGGCTTAGGGCTTGGGCTTTTGGGGGTTTATGTTTTGGCTTTAAGGGCCCCTACACGCCAAACCCTGAACACCATAAAATTTTCGGGTTTAGGGTTTAGGGCTTAGCTTGAGGCTTGCGGCCAAAGGTCCTCCAGAGTCGCGCCCCCCAACCCTACGAAGGCGTAGTCGGGGGAGGGGTCGAGGTAGGCGCTAAACCCCGGAGAAGCCTAGGACCACAAGGAATACCCTTTTTGGCTTCAAGGGGCTTATAAAGGGGACCCAGACCCTAAAAAAAGGGAATACGGGCCTACTCTGGGTCCTAAACCCTAAGCCCTAAGCCCTAAGCCCTAAGCCCTAAGCCCTAAACCCTAAACCCTAAACCCTAAACCCTAAACCCTAAACCCTAAACCCTAAACCCTAAACCCCAAACCCTAAACCCTAAACCCAAGAAAACCCTGACCGGATTCCAACAGAAGGGCCGGCCTTCCCGGGCTGTCCGCCTCTGAGATGCCAATTCTTCCTTCGTCACGCCACACACACACACACGGGCGAGCGTAGCGTTTAGCGTTCGAGGTTTAGGGTTTAGGGTCTAGGGTCTTGGGTTTATAGGGTTTTGGTTTTGGAGTTGAGGGTTTGGGGTTTGGGGTTCGGGTAAGCTTGAACCCCTCAAGGGCTGCCTGAATCACTGCATATGCTCCTTATGTCCACTTCCACCTCAACTTCTAGCTATAAATGAATTCTTTAGCTGCCTTGTTATGAAACCCTAACCCTAAACCCTAAACCCTAAACCCTAGACCCTAAACCCTAAACCGGAAAAGGCTAAAGATCTAAAGTTACAGTAAAGCACCACAAAGACTTGTGATTAACAATGGCTCGCCTGGAGTCCTGGCCTTGAGCCCGAAACCCCCTTTTGCAGGGATTTCGGGTTTAGGGTTTAGGGTTTAGGGTTGTGGGTTTTGGGTTTAGGGTTTAGGGTTTAGGGTTTAGGCTTTAGGCTTTAGGGCTTTAGGGCTTTAGGGTCTAGGCTAGGGTCGACAAAACACTTAGGGTTTAGGGTGTAGGGTTTAGGGCTTGGGGTTTAGGGTTTAGGGTTTAGGGTTCAGGGTTCAGGGTTCAGGGTTCAGGGTTCAGGGTTCAGGGTTCAGGGTTTAGGGTTTAGGGTTTAGGGTTAACCCCACCGCCACACCCCCACACCCCACGCCCCCCCCCCCCCCCCCCACCCCCCACGCCAAAGCCTAAGATACCACTTACACAAATCGGTATACCAAGGCATACTTATTCCTGCAGGTTCGCAGCGCATGATTCAGCAGTACCATCTCTGGTCATTCTGGACATCTCCTTGATTCCCTACTCCGAAACCCCCAAAACCCAAACCCCAAACCCCAAACCTATTCCCTAAACCCAAAACCCTAAACCCTAGATCCTAAACCCTAGGCCAACAGTAAGGATTCAGACAGGCCGCGAGCAGGGGAGGAAGCATTGGACCGGAGCCTTGGGCCCACGTGCACTTGGAAAATCAAAAGGGGGCGCGAGAGGGTTTCAGGGCTCAGGGGTTCAGGGTTTAGGGTTTTAGAACCCCCCTTCCCCCCCCCCTTGGGAGGTAAAGGGGTGAAATAGGTTTTAGGGTTTCGGGTTCAGGGGTTTAGGGTTTAGGGTTGAGGGTTCAGGGTTTAGGATTTAGGGTTTAGGGTTCAGGGCTTAGGGTTTAGGACTCAGGGTTTAGGGTTTACGGTTTCAAGTTTAGGGTTTTGGGTTCAGGATTTAGGGCTTGAGGGTTTAGGGCTTCCCAACCCTAGCTGGTTCTTGCTCGGAATTAGGGGGAAGGCCCTCTTTGAATCTCCTACAGAGTTGTGTCCTAAACCCTAAACCCTAAACCCTTGAGCCCTACATAAACACTTTGGGTGGAAGGCTTCCAAAACACAGAGCCCCCAGGGGCCACCACGTACGCACCGCCGGCAGCGTGTCTGGCAGCAAGCCCTGAGACAAAGAGAGTTCGGGATAGGGGTTAGGGTGTTTGGGGTTAGGTAGGGGAGCTTAGGTTGAAGGGACTCCGACTGGCGGCCTGCCACCCGAGAGAAGCCACGAGAATTACTTGAGATGCTGCCATTCAAGTCCCATGATTCCCTTAGGGTTTCGGTTTAAGGTTTAGGGTTTAGGGTTTAGGGTTTAGGGTTTAGGGTTTAGGGTTTAGGGTTTAGGGTTTAGGGTTTAGGGTTTAGGGTTTAGGGTTTAGGGCTTAGGGTTTAGGGTTTAGGGTTTAGGGTTTCGGGTTTAGGGTTTAGGGATTAGGGTTTAGGGTTTAGGGTGTAGGGTTTAGGGTTTAGTGCTTAGGGTTTAGGGCTTTGGGCTTAGGGTGTAGGGTGTAGGGCTTGGGGTTTAGGATTTAGGGTTCAGGGTCTAGGGTTCTAGTCCGTAGCGTACAACTCCTATCCGGAGACTATAGTATGGGAGGCGTCCGGTGAATTCTGCCAGGGCCTTGCAGAGTTTCGCATGCCACCCGATGGCGCCACGGGGAACTGTGAGGGAGCTTCTCTCAGGAAGCTCTGCGGGTTTAGGCGATGGAGTGTGGAGATTAGGGTTCGCGGACTTGCAACAACGGGTTTAGGTCTAGGGTTTAGAGTCTGGGGTGAAGACGCCGACCCAGGTCGTGATTAAGGGGTTTCCGGCTTTCGGTTTTAGGGATGTGGGGGTTAAGCTCCCTAAACCCGAAACCATGAACCCTAACTAAACCTTAGACCCTAAGCCCGAAAAACCACCCTGCCCCCGCCCTGCCCTTTCATGGACAAACGTGCGCACCTGCAGAAGTGTCGGCTCCTTCTCAACCTCTTCTCTCCTGGCACTGGCTGGTTTAGCTGGGTTGGCCTTTAAACCCCCTGAAAAATATTTATACATAGGGCCCCTTAAAAAAACCCAAATAAGGAAAATAAGAAATGTCCCAAAAACCAACCTAGTTAGGATCTGTCTTAAACGCTAAAACCCTCGAGGGCGTCAGTCCGATTGTTCAGGGTTCCGGGCTTTAGTCTATGACAGGAGTAGTGTTCAGGCTTGAGGGTTGGGGGGTTCGAGGTCTGGGCGGCACCTGATAGTGTGGGCTAAACCCTAAACCCTAAATCGACCCCAACATGCTGCCGCCGGACTGCTTGCTGCAAAATCCCCGAACCCTAAACTCTCAAGAGGCCCCGGGGTAGGAGCCCTATGTAATCCCTTAAAGGATATATATATATGGGGGGGGGTCTAAAGTCTGAATCAGATTCAGATTCAGGGATGGGGTACCTCATTCCGTCATCCCCTACTAACCAACAGTAAGTATTTCCGTTCAGGGTCCGTGGCAAGTGCCTCAAGTGCCCCAAGTGACGCCCGTTCAGGGCCCCAAGTGTGACTTGACTGAGGTGTCTCCAGTGCCAGTGCTCCGACATGACCCTCCAGGTGGTTTAGGGTTTAGGCCCTAAACCCCTAAACCCCTAAACCCCTAAACCCCTAAACCCCTAAACCCCTAAACCCCTAAACCCCTAAACCCCTAAACCCCTAAACCCCTAAACCTGAAACCCTAAACTCCTCAAACCCATAACCCCTCAAGTGCCGTTTAGGGTTTAGGGTTTAGGGTTTAGGGTTTAGGGTTTAGGGTTTAGGGTTTAGGGTTTGGGGTTTAGGGTTTAGGGTTTAGGGTTTCAATGAGGTGTCCCCAGCGCCAGCCCGAGAGACCCAGGGTCTGCCCCAAGTGCTCCCCAGGGTGACGCCAAGGCCCACAAACGCGCGCTTCCGTCCGGCTCCCGCCCTGAAGCCTAAACCCTAAACCCTAAACCCTAAACCCTAAACCCTAAACCCTAAACCCTAAACCCTAAACCCTAAACCCTAAACCCTAAACCCTAAAATTCCTCTCAAGCGCTTGGGGGCTTTATTTGGGCCTGGGCCTGCAGGTCTTTCTGGGCTCTGAGGGAGGGTTTGAGGGATTTGAGCTCTAAGCTTGCCCTAACCCCTTTACCACCCGAAGCCCTAGAAGCCCTAGAAGCCCTAGAAGCCCTAGAAGCCCTAGAAGCCCTAGAAGCCCTAGAAGCCCTAGAAGCCCTAGAAGCCCTAGAAGCCCTAAACCCTGAGAGATGTCGGTGGTTTTTGTCAAACATGGGCTCTCTAGGCCGAGTGTGTCAGGGAGCCTCGGTGCGGTTGGTTCCACCTCGTCCGCAATTTTTCCGCCCACCGCGCAGCAGGAGATCGGCGAATTACTTATAAAGTCAACCGCGATGAAACCTGGAGGTTCAGGGTTTGGGGTTAAGGGTCTGGGGTTGAGGGTGTCGCGATATGAAACCTGGGCGGCGCAAGTTCTTCAAACTGCCTCTCCCTGGTTGAGAATCTTGAAAGCTGCCTCAGGCGGGCTGGGTGCCTTTGGACTGATGCGACTTGACTTTGTGCCGTGGAAGTCCGGAGTAGAGGCCGGAGAAAGACCGGAGGTGTTCGCAGAAGCTCTGTAGCGTGGACTTGCCCCGGCGATGGTGGTCGCCTTCGTAGCCCAGTAGCCATAGTACTATTTTTTGCTAGTACCATTCAGGTTCTTGTCATTTATTCTAAGCGATTCTCATTCTTGCTCTATGATCACTATCATAAGGATACCTTTCAGGGGGTTGCTTTGCTTGAGAAGGGAACCTGGAATCAAGAAAAGGGGGGCGCGAAAAGGGTATCCTTCTGGGCCAGCAAGGGCCCTAAACCCTAAACCCTAAACCCTAAACCCGAAACCCTTCTGGGCCAGCAAGGCGCCCTGGCCCTCCGAGATCACCTTGGACTCCTTGGCCAACTTCCGAAGCTGAAGCTCTGCCTCGTGCAACATCAGCCAAAAGTCCGAGCACTCCTGGGTTGCCCACTAAACGGCCTCAAAAAAACAATATATATATATATATATATATATATGTATGTATGTATATATATATATATGTATATAGGTATATGTATATATATATATATAGATATGTATATATATATATATATGCATATATATATATATATATATATATATGTCTGGCCCCCTTGCAAGCCCAAATAAGGCAAATGCACAAAAGATCCCAAAAACCCAAACCTAGACGCTTCTAAGAGATGGCACTGGCCATCAAGGTGCATTGCCGAGACCTCCAGATACTTCTGGACCTCCTCGAGTTCATGGTTGGGGACAGTAATAGAAAAGTCAAATTTCTATTCCTTGTTGAGCTTCAGTACCCTCAAAGATTTAAAATGCTACCCCCTCTGTGACAAAGTCCTTCTGTGCGTCTGTCAGCTCGAGGGCGTCACGTGCTGTGCACTCCAAGCTTCCACTCTCATCCTCGGCCGGCGCGGGCAGGGAGCTCGTGACTATCTGATCCATAGCCACCCGGGTGCACTGCCCCACATATTGAACCTGCTTGAGCAGATCAATGTAGTCGGTGCGAATTGTCTGCAGATCCTTGCACAAGGTAGCAATGCCATCATAGAGCTCTGCTACGCAAATCTGCAGCTCGTCGCTTTGGTGACCTCTCGCCAGCCAGAGCAGTGTTGGAAGCTGTTCGAGAGCACTGCGTGCAATGGCCGAAAGCTTATGCGAAATCACCTGTGCGGAGTCGATGAGCTCCACAAAAAGATGCTGAGTTATGTGGGCAGCTGTTAGCACATCCCTGTCACTTTGCGAAAGACAGGTCGTCACAGCCTGGAGATGGCCTCCTTAGTAGCCCAGTAGCCATACTATAATGAGGGTTTAGGGTTTAGGGTTTAGAGTTTAGGGTTTCGGGTTTAGGGTTTAGGGTTTAGGGCTTAGCGTTTAGGGTTTAGGGGTTACTTTACAAGGGAACCCAGAACCCAAATAAAAGGGAAAAGGGTACCGCTGGGCTCCCGAGCCTCTGAAAGCATCCGTGAAGACCTTTAGGTCTCCCGCAGTGCCGTCAGGCTGATATAGCGGTGGGGCTTGGTAAGAGCTGCACGAACTCACTGAGACAACCTAGACCAAGGAGTAGGAACAACAAGGGTACCCTTGCTGGGTTTTAAGGGGATTACCAGAAAAAAAAACTCAACCGCAACAAAAAAAAAGAAATAAGAACCTACTTCCGATTGCTAGCAACAGATCCGCGGGATCGGTCGCAAGGTCCCGACAGACCCGTACTGCTTACGGCCACGGACTCGTCGCGAAGCGATCGGAAACTCCAGTCACGAGGCAACGCCATGCGGAGCCGATGTCTGTACTAGTGACTGTAAATTTTGTGAGACCTCGGGGCCTAGAATCAGAAAGCTGGAGTCTGTTACCAGGCCCACCGAGCCGAAAAAAACACCTCAAGCCCCAAAATTGAGGTTACCAAGTCTATGTCAGCCCTCAAAAAAAAGTTCACCAACAGCCAAACCCCAAACGCGAAACTTCAGGTTTTTGAAGCCATAAACTCCCAAAACGAAACGTCGAACAACCGGAAAAGACGCACTCAAAAGTGCTTGCATCCTTTGGTGATCAAAAAAACTTGGGATGTCCCCCTTATACACTAACATGTGAGTAAAACGGTGAACATCCCAAGAAAAAGCCTTTGTAGAGGGATTTGGTGGGTTTTACCCTAAACCCTGGCCCTGAACCCCAAACCCCAAACCCTAAACCCTAAACCCTAAACCCCCTGGGCACCTGGTAGAGATCAGCGTGCCGAGCTCCTCCCTGATCACGTAGGACCTCGGCAGAAGTTAAGGCAACGAATATGCAGGGTTGACGAAAGTAGGGTTTAGGGTTTAGGGTTCCGGGTTTAGGGTTTAGGGTTTAGGGTTTAGGGTGTAGGGTGTAGGGTGCAGGGTTTAGGGTTTAGGGTTTAGGGTTTAGGGTTTAGGGTTTAGGGTTTAGGGTTTAGGGTTTAGGGTTTAGGGTTTAGGGTTTAGGGTTTAGGGTTTACGAAAATAGGGGGCGCCCTTAAATAGACCCCCAAATAAAGAGGATTCCACTAAAAGAAGGATCCCCAATAAGGTACCCGGAGTATCTCCAAACCCCAATATACGGGTTGGAAGAATTACGCGTAGCTTTTCCTCATGGTCTTTTCATAACAACCCGATTCTACTTGTTAAGGCGCCTATATTATAGCCATAATCTTCGTGGTGTACTCTTGGGGTAGTTACATGGTCCCTTAGTATGGGCCCTTAAAAGGGGCCCAAAATATACGCCTCACATACCCTTTTCAACCCAAGGGCCTTAGGGTTTAGGGTTTAGGGTTTAGGGTTTAGGGTTTAGGGTTTAGGGTTTAGGGTTTAGGGTTTAGGGTTTAGGGTTTAGGGTTTAGGGTTTGGGGTTTAGGGTTTAGGGTTTAGGGTGCGGAGCTGCAGTTTGTGCTTCAGGAAATGGGGCAAGGATAGTTAAGAAGGGCAATGACCTGTTGCTATGATTTGGCTCAAGGATGGCCAGCAACAGGAGGGCCAAACGCTTTAAAAAGTGTGTTCTGGGTTTGGGGTTGGGGTTGGTTCCTAGGTGCTTTGGCATAGGTCCCCCGTACTCCCTTTCCCGGTTCCTCTTATCCGTGTTCTGGGTTTGTCTTATGGTTCGGTCTGGGGAATATAATTTCCGGGCGATCAGTGGGGTTGATCCTTTTCCCTCTTTGGTTGCCCTCCGTAGGTTATGAGCCCAAGCGGTTCCCTGCGGTAAGTTGTTTTCTTTCAGGGTTTGGGCTTAAGAAGCAATGTCTTCCGGCTCCAGCCTTCCGCGAATGGTGGAGAAAGTGGTGGAGCTAAAAATGGTGCAACTGGTTCCCTGGCTGGAGAGGTGGCGCTAGAAGCGGCGATGCCTGATGCTGCGGAAGAACAACTGGGAGGAACAACCGTTGCTGAAAGCCCCACTGAGGGTGTGGTTCCCAATGAGGAAATGACTGACAACGCTGACGGTGAGAGGCGAGTTGGAGCTCCACAGCCAGAGGACGGCGTGGAAACGTCCGTGGATAAGACTGGTGTGGTAAACACTAAGTTGGCAGCTGCTGTGTTGGAATTGATAGAGAGACACACTTATCCGACGGCGTCGTCTTCATCGTTGAGTCGGAAGATGGTCAGTCAAGAAAGGCAGACTGAGCTGAGTGGCGAAGTGGCTCTGGTTGAAAAGTCCGAGTACAGAACTTCCGATGAGCCAGGTGGGAAAGACGGTGGGGGCCAACCTTCTTTAAGTGGTTCTGGTGGTGAGACACTGGAAGGACTGCTGGGAGGGACTGAGGTGCATCCTGAAGATATTCTGGAGCTGGAAGCCGTTATTCGGGAGGGGCGTCAACAAATGCACGCTCAACTGGAGCGACTACGGCTGGCGTCAGAGGAAGCCCTATGGAGGATTCTGAAAGGGAGATGCATTTTCAAGATGGTCGACCGTGTGACTACCATACTGCCACTCGAGATACCCAGCGGGAATGCCCGGAAGGGTATGAAAGCACTGCGGGAAAGGCGTCGGCGAACGAACAGACTGGAGCTTCGACAAGTAGAGGGAAGAACAAAGTTTCCTTCAGAGTGGAGCTGGGTTCTATATCGTCGACGTCCTCATCTGAGTCTGGAAGGGCTAATCAAGGCAGTGTAGCTAGTTGTATAGAAAAAGATGTTTCCTCTACCATTGAAAAATAGTGGTCTTAAGGGTGGTCTACCCTGACCCCGGGGTCTCCAAGGGAGGATAGTATCTCTGGAGCACAGAAAAGTATGGCTGAAGTGCACCTGGATCAGGGAAGGAATTTGGCATTTTCTGAGGGTGACGCAGCAATGGTTCTGGATGATCAAGTTCCCAATGAGGAAGAGAGCGGTGTTTCAGCAGCAGAAGCCTTGGTGGTGGATGTGGTGCTTGGCAATCAGGAAATACCTGGAAATGTATCAGCGGATGAGTGCTCCCAAACTATTGCTGGGACGTCCGTCTTCCTGAGGAAAGAAGATACTTCTGAGGTGGCTGATAGCACTGTTGAATTGCCTGACGTGGGGGGTCAAGGCAAAGGCCTGGAGCAACAATGAAGTGCGGGCTGATGCGCAAGAGAAGACCTGGAGCGCGGAGGAGGCACGGGTTGGAGCGCAAAGTGGTACATGTTCCGCAGTCGACTGCAACAATGGGGCGCAGGTCACTGTAGTAGCTGACGATGGAGGTGCATCGGCGGACGCGCTAGTGCAATCTGAAGTCTGAAGTTGGTGGCGTGGAACAAGGTGTTTTGAGTCACACCGTAGCCAATGCGGCAGCTGTGACAGATGATGATGATCTTCCTTTGGTAACCATGGAGCCAAAGGATCCTGCGGCGGAAGAAAGTGTGCCCGCTGCGGATGAATGCACAAAGGACCCAAAGAGAGGGTTCCTCTCCGACGAAACGGAGATTGCGCCAACTGGTAGTTTTCGGGAAGTCGACACCAAGGAAACTACAACGGTGGAGGCGACAGTAGTTGAAGAAGATCCTGTGTTCTTGGAGCGCAAAGTGGATGACTCTGCGGGACTCATACAAGTGCAGGAGAAAAAGCTTGGTCCAGATGTGGAAGCAGGGGGACAACTGGGGCGATTCCTGACGGGCATTGTCAACTGCATTAACGTGGATGGAGCATTGTGGTTTGGATGTGTGGATCCCCGTGAAAGTAGAAGATGGTCGCCGCTTTCAATTTGGAGATGACGTCGAGGCGGTGGTGCATCAGGTTGAAGAAGATGGTACACTGATCATGAGTGTAGACCTGGAGCTGGTAGACGGCGATGATGCTACATCCTTTTCCGGACCACGCAAATGGAAGCGTGGAGAATCAAGCCAGTGGTGGAGTAATCCCTGGTATTGGGGTCAATGGGACCAAAGCTCCTCTTCGTACGGTCAATGGTACTGGAAGCAAGAGGACGAATGGAATTGTTCCGGCTGGTCTGCAGGTCAGGGGAGGAAGGAGAGATGAAGCAGTTCTATGGGGAAAAGCTTTTTAGAATGCTTGAACGCATGGAGGTAGAAAAGGAGTACCTCAACAAAATCACTGGGATGATCTTCGGCTCACGAAATGTGGACGCGTTGAAGGACCTGTCGATGGACTTCGACTTGGTGAGGAGTGAGGCCCATGAAGCATATAACATCCTGATTAAGGATGGTTGGACACCCCAGAAGGGCGCGGCAACAAGCTGGCCACGTGCTAAGTATTCCCGAGCGTGCTACCATGATGCACTATTTGATGTTGCTCGCCAGGATCGAAGGTATAGTCAAGCGGCAACAGGTGAAGCGGTAGCAAGAGCTCTGGATCAAGGGGATGAAGAGTATTGGCACTCATTGTGGTTGGACTCGCAAAAGTTCCTGAGGGAAATTGATGCAGCTATAGAAGCTATGCGACTGAGGGAAAGGAAGTCAATTGATGATTACCTTGATCCTGACAAGATGAGGAAGGTTCATCTCACACCGAAGCCCCGGACTGGATACGTCAAGCTGTGCAATTTTTTCAGGCAGGGAAAGTGTCGTAATGGAGACGCCTGTCAATTTGAACATCGACTTCCTGGTGTTGGGTGGCCAACAAATGGTCCAACTGAGTCAGTTGAGAGCAACGCCGGTGATGATGATGAAGACATCGGCAGCCCACCAACTGAAGAAGGAGTCGTTGATCCTGCACAAGAAGAGCGCGATTATTTGGCCTTCCAAAGATACAATTATGGGAAGGGTGCTTCCAAGGGAGAGCCAATGATGCAAGAGCCAAGGCGAGAGTTGTGTTTATATTATGGGCACAAGTCAGGCTGTAAGTATGGTCTCAATTGCAAATATGTCCATGATGACCAGGCAACTTTGGAGGGACATCGAGAAGCTGGGAAAAAATGGGACGATGCTTCCCGAAGGGCTCTTCGAGAGGCTGGTTTTCAAGGATCCTGCTTTGATCATTATTTGAAGGGAAGATGCAGGGTCGGACAAAATTGCAAATATAGCCATGAACAGATCTCTGACGATCGGTTGGCTCTGCTGCGCCATTTGGTTCATACAGCGAATCACATCAGTGATATCCAGGACAAGGGCGGTGAACTTCCAAGTCGCGACAGCTTCAAGTTTCCTACAGCAACAGTGGAGGGTCCTCGTCATCCTCTGCACCACAGGCGTTGGTTTTGACCAATGTGTCAGATGATAAACAAGCGACTGACACAACACTGGACGGTGCTGAAAAACAAGATGGGGATGAACGAAAGGACTCCATAGCAGAGTCCTCCAAGACGCCAATTCTAAGCCCTGATGAGCCGATTCAATCGTGGATGGCTAGAAAT